TCTTTATACTGATCTGCATTTCTGATGTCATTTTCCTTCTCTAGAACTTCTTTTCATATCTCTTGCAAGGTTTGCTGGCAACAAATCATCAAATTTTGTTTGTTTGAGAGTCTTTATTTCTCCTTCACTTTTGAAGGATAATTTTGCTGGATACAGAATTCTAGGTTGGTGGCTCTTTTTTTGTTTTTTGTTTTTTTTGACATTTTAAATATTTCACTCCACTCTACGTTTGCTTGCAGAGTTTCTGAAGAGAAATCCAATGTAGCTGTTACCCTTGCCCTTCTATAGGGAAGGCGTCTTTTCCTTCTGGCTTCTTTCAAGATTTTCTATTTTTCATTTTCTGCAGTATGAATATAACACGTCTAGGTGTAGATTTTTTGGAATTTATCATTCTTGTTGTTCACTGAGCTCTCTGAATCTGTGGTTTGGTGGCTGTCATTAGTTTTGGAAAATTCTCAGTAATTATTGCTTAAACTATTTCTTCTGTTCCTTTCTCTCTTTCTTCTCCTTCTGGTATCCTCATGACTCACAAGATACATCTCTTGTAATTATCCCACAATTCTTGAATATTTTCTCATTTTCATTCTTTTTTCTCATTGCATTTCACCTTGAGTTTCTTTCCATTGACATATCCTCAAGCTCACGGATTCTTTTCTCGGTATGTCCAGTCTACTGATGAGTCCATCAGAGGCATTCTCTATTCTGGTTATGGTGTATTTTATTTCTAGCATTTACTTTTGAACTTTTCTTAGATTTCCCATCTCTCTGCTTATTATTCATCTGCTCTTGCATGTTGTTCACTTCTTCCATTAGAGTTCTTAGTACACTAACTATAGTTATTTTAGATTCTTGGTTTGAATATTCCAAAATGTGTGCCATAACTGAGGCTGCTTCTGATGCTTGTGCTTTATCTTCAAATTGCATTTTTGTCTTTTATTATGGCTTGTAATTTTCTCCTGAAAGCTGGACATGGTGTGCTGAGTAAAAGAAACTGAGGTACGTAGGCCTTTTTGTGAGATTTTATATTTATCTGGCTAGGAGTTAGGCTGTTTATTGTTTGGCATAACTGTAGGTTTCAGAGGCTAAAGTTTTCTCTAATGTCCTTGTTTTTGCCTGCCCTCCCATGTTGTCTTTGGGCTTCCCTAGAGACTTCTTCCTAAATAACGTCTGAGACATGCATCTCCTTCAGTTGTAATCCCCTATTATACAGGAACCCTAGTGAGGTGGTGGTGAGGTGTGAGCGGGTGGGAAATATTTTACAGTCTGTGATCGGGTCTTAGCATTTTAGTGAGCCTGTGTCCCTGGGCTATGACCTCCACAAGTACTTTGCAGTACCCGCCTCAGGCGGTCAGGAAGGCTAGAGGGGGTGGAGCTGGGCATTTCCCTTCTCTCCAGTCAGTTAGGCTATTAAAAAACACAATAGATTAGGCTCCAGTAAAATAATTTCCCTCGAGGGCAGGTTTTTGCTAAGTCGAACAGAATACTCTGGTCATATTTCCCTCGAGGGCAGGTCTTTGCTAAGTCGAACAGAATACTCTGGTCATATTTCCCTCGAGGGCAGGTCTTTGCTAAGTCGAACAGAATACTCTGGTCATATTTCCCTCGAGGGCAGGTCTTTGCTAAGTCGAACAGAATACTCTGGTCATATTTCCCTCGAGGGCAGGTCTTTGCTAAGTCGAACAGAATACTCTGGTCATATTTCCCTCGAGGGCAGGTCTTTGCTAAGTCGAACAGAAGACTCTGGTCATATTTCCCTCGAGGGCAGGTCTTTGCTAAGTCGAACAGAATACTCTGGTCATATTTCCCTCGAGGGCAGGTCTTTGCTAAGTCGAACAGAATACTCTGGTCATATTTCCCTCGAGGGCAGGTCTTTGCTAAGTCGAACAGAAGACTCTGGTCATATTTCCCTCGAGGGCAGGTCTTTGCTAAGTCGAACAGAAGACTCTGGTCATATTTCCCTCGAGGGCAGGTCTTTGCTAAGTCGAACAGAAGACTCTGGTCATATTTCCCTCGAGGGCAGGTCTTTGCTAAGTCGAACAGAATACTCTGGTCATATTTTGAAATGGTTATGTTCTCCCTCCTCCTACAAGAAGCAACAGGGGACTTCCTCTGATCTACACTCTGAGAACCTAATGAGGCTACAGGAAGAAAAACTGATGCAAGTGTGGGACCCCTGTGACTGGACCCTGGAGGTTTAACTCTCCAGCTCGTCCACACTGAGCCTCCAGCGCTTCATCAATCACGACGTAAGCCCTCCTGCACCAGCACTGGCTCTGGCAGCTGGCTTCACTCCAGTGAGCTGTGATTCTCTGCATCTGCCTGTCTCCCGTTTTCAGGGCAGCGGTTTGCTCTGTGACGCGAATTCTCTGTCTAGAAAAGTTGTTGACTTTAAGTTTTTTTCTTGTTTTGAGAATGGGCGTGATGACTTCCAAGCTCCTTATAGTCCAGACTGAAAACTGAAAGCCTCTAATTGAGTCTTGTTAGTTTCTGCTCATCTCCATAGCTTGTCTGGGGTTGACGTCGCCAGTGGGAGCCAGCAGCCCTTGCCAGTGCCCATTTGGGAGGTCGGGGAGTCCCTGATCTCAGACCTTTCAAGTCCCTCTCCCAGCTGGTGACTCCAGCGCCCCTCCAGGCCCTGCTCCCAGGCTCACTGGCTCCTTGTGTTCTCTGATCGGCCCTTTCCCTCCACCCCTACCTCAGTCTCTCTATTTGGGAGTGGGTTTCTGGGGCTCACTCTTGGGGCAGCTCAGAGTAAGCCTTTCCCAGCTGTCTGAGGAACGTGGGGCAGGATAACAGGCCTCTGGGCACAGCCTGCAGGAGTGGGAAGAACAAAGGGGTTCGAGCTCTCCCAAGAGAGATGTAGGTTTGAATTCATGTTCCCCTATGTGCTGCCCATGTCATCTCTGAAAAGCTTTTGAACCTGCTAGGCTTCAGCTTATCTTTAAAACGAGACTAAACCAGGATAATAATACTGAGCACTAAGCTGGCTTCAGGTTATGGGAAAACTGGCTGGGCTGGAGCTGAGATTCCGTCGGTCTTGTGGATGAGGTGTGTATTGGGATCCCTTGTTCAGAGGTCTGAGAAGATCCAGGAGGGGCAGGGAATCACCTGACTCCAGGTTTAGGGTGTATAGAGGCCAGGCCCCTAGGGCACGGCCAGCCTGAGGCTGCTGCGGTTGGGAGAAGAATCAGAGTTTAGGGCCAGAGGAGTGGCTAATACTCCGACTGAACTGCCCAAGCTCCCCGGCCTCGTGTAGAAGGTGTGTGAACCACATGCTGTTTCAGTCACTCACTGACATCCAGGGGCCTGAGGCCCCACAACTGAGTTTCCCACCAACGGAGGGGAAGGTCATCTTCCCCCTTCCAGACACTGCTGAGCTCTTCAGGGCAGACAATGTGGTGGGTGCACAGTGGTATCTCACTGGTGGAGCTCCAGCCAGACGGACGGCCAGAGGCGGGGACTGCCAGCAATGCCCGTACAGGTATGAACACTGGGAAGACACTTCCTGAGGCCTCCCAAGACTACCCTGGGAAGGGAGTTCTTGTGTGTTGTTGGCCAAAGCCAGTGAGATCCTGGTGTCAACAGGCATGTGACTCCCTTTGCACCCACCTGCTGTCCCAGGATATTTGGGCAATGCCAGGATTGGGAAGAATTTGCACTGAATGCTTTGAATGGCATCTGGTCCCTTCTGGACATGCGCTAAATGGGAGCTTTCCCATCTTATTCTGTGTCTGAAGGCTGGGGTGGGTGCATTGTGAGTCTGCTGGGGTCCTGCTGGCTGCACAAGGACCCTATGTCAGGTGGATTGGCAGGAAGGACAACCTAGGACATTGATTCGAGGCTGACTGTCCAGCCACTAAGTCTTGGGTCAGCTAAGCAGAAAAGGTGACACCAGGTTCCAACTGCTGGAGGTGCATGGGCACCTCGGGGCAGGCTGCTAGAGGGCCTTGGACAGCAGGGTACCATTTCACGTGGGGCTGTGGCCCAGGGAGGTGGGAAGAGAACAGGGCCCTTCAGACTGGGGAGAGTGGGGCCACGGAGGTCGGGAGGAGTGCTGGGAGCTGACTCCAGGAGCAGACGTCTGAAGACTGCTGGCCTGAAGCTAGGCCCTCCGCCTGGCGTGCGGCCCCCTCTGTCTGCCTCTGACTCCCTTTCTCAGACCCCCTCATCCGAGAGCCCTCTATGCTGCAGGCCAGGACCCCTTCCTCACGACCAGGGTCATGCGCCCCAGTCCAGCTCCACTGCCCCCATTCTGGGACTTCCCTCCATCTCCACTGGGAGTCGGTCCTCCCTCCTCCAAACCCTGGAGTGATGTTTCTCTGCTTTGGGGGTGACCCCTGCTCCCCTGCACTTTCACACCTGGTGAATGTCTTACTTCCTACCATGGGCTGAATTGCATTCCCCCAAAAGTCGTATGTTGAAGTCCTAACCCCCAGTCCCTCCGAATGTGACTGTATTTGGAGGAGGGATTAAAGAGACAATTACGGTAAAATGGGGTCATTAGGGTGGGCCCTAATCCAGTGTTACTGGTGTCCTTATAAAGAGGGGAAATTGGACACAGACATGCACAGAGGGACGACCATGTGAGGACACAGGGAGGAGACAACCACCTACATGCCCTGGAGAGGGGCCTCAGGAGAAGCCAGCCCTGCCCACACCTTGATCTTGGACTTTCAGCCCCAGGACTGGGAGGGGGTGAACCCTTGTTGTTTACAGTGCTCCATCTGCTGTGGCTGTTATGCAGCTGGAGCTGACTGATACACTTCCCCTGAAGGCCTGCATGCTCCCACAGTGGGAGCAGAGTCTAGAAGGGAAGACACCCTACTCTTTCCCCAGCTGGTGGCCCTGCTCCCTCAGTGTCCCCCACTCCCGCCTTCCTCCCTGGACAGTCTCCCCACCAGGTTGTGTTTCCTCCTCCAGGGAGCCAGACGATTGATCTCAGGGAAGGGATGGATGCTGAGGAGCAGGAGGGGCAGTGGGACCCCGAGACAGGAGCAGGATGAGTCTTTTATTTGCTTTATTTTGTTTTTCCAGGCTGGTTTTGGGGGTAGTAGCTGATGGAGAGGAAAGCCAAGAAGAAGGGACGCTGAGAGTGGTGGGGCTGGGAGAGGGGAGGCGTGGAAGGTTCTAGAGAGGAGCCTGGGGCCTGCGGCAGAAAGCAGGGGCAGAGGGGTCGGGCAGGTCACTGCGGGGCCAGCCTCGGGGCCCCAAGTGCAAACAGCAGCGGGAGCCAGGCGCGCGGTGGCCGGGGCGCTGCGCGGGGCCCGGGGGGGCCAGCCGCCCGCAAGGGCTGGCGCGGAAGCGGGGTCGGCGGAGGGATCAGTGATCGGTCCGGGGGCGGGGTGCGTCTCTGGGTGTCGGCGATCCAGCTGGCGAAGTGGGCGACGCTGGTGAAGACGCTGGGGTAGACGGGGTGCCAGCAGTCCAGGCCCCAGCTGGCCAGCCCCACCAGAACCCAGGCATCAGGGAGGTCGCAGACCAGCGGCCCCCCGGAGTCGCCCTGGGGAAGAGAGGGAGTCAGGGCGGGCGGTGGCCGTGCGGACACCGGGGGCAGGCGGGGCTCCTGTGTCCCGCTGTCGAGGCCGTGGGGACGGTCCCACACCAGCGACCACCGCGGACCCACCATCGACGCCACAAATCGTGCTTCAAGGGGCTCCCAAGTGACCCTCAGGACAAGCACGGATCGGCGTCCATCAACACGTGCACCCCACCACCGTCCCCGGCGGCCCGAGACAAGGCACTGCGCAAGGCCCAGAGGGGACAGCTCCCCAAACAGGGCCTGGGGGGCTGGACTGCGGGCGGAGCCGGCCTGCCGAAGACCCCGCAGCCCCCGCGGCGCTGGGGTCAGCAGCGGTCCCCAGCTGGGTCCCCTCCTTCTTCATTCATTTAGGCCCTTGCTTCCTCTCAGCTTACGGTGGAGCGTCTTCAGAAAGCGCCCAGCCCAGGCCCACACTGCGGGGGGAGCAGCGCGGTCCCCGGGGAGCGGCCGGGAGTTGCTGAGCCCTGAACGCAGTCAGGGCAGGACCATCCAGCTGGAAATCCGCTCGTTCCATCAGCCCATGGAGGGTCTCATCGCGCGCGGCAGGGAGCAGGGCCACGGGCGCCTGTCCCTCCTCCCCCACCGCCCAGCGCGCAGGGGGCGGCCAGGGCCCCCTCCGCTCTTGGGAACACAGGGCTGCGAGGACGGGTCCCTGCCCCGGGGTGCTTCTGTAAGCCGCCAACAAGCCGTGGTCAGATGTGGCACGCGGAACCAAGCCATGGAAGGGACCGGACGGGGCGGGGAGGGCATCCCATGGGTGGCAGCAGAAAGCTTTCCCGAGCTGAGACTCCACACAGGAGTGCAGGGAGCAGAGGAAGGCGACCCGTGCGCCAGCTTCAGGTGGGTGGGAGGAGGGCAGCAGGGCTGTGGGGAGCAGGGGCAGACAGGACTGGGGCAGGCCTGAGGGCCGGGCCAGGTCTGCCCCATGGAGAATCAGCTGGTGCCTGTGGAGAAGGGACCAGTGGGGAGGTGACTCCCGGAGAGAAGGGGAGAGACTATTGATGGGGAGGGGTGAGGGCAGTGAGAAATAGATTTGGGATAATATTTTGAAGGAGGAGCCAACCGGACCTGTTGAATCTGAGCTCCTCTCACCAACTGGGACAAGGCACAGAGAGGGGAAGGACAGGCTGAGCAGGGAGCCCTGGGACCCCCAGCTTTCAGAGGTGGAAGGGAGGGGAGTGGGAGCAGAGCCAGGCGGCTGGTGAGTCCTGCCACCCAGGAAACGGGAGTGAGACCTGCTGATGTGCTGAGTGAGAGGAGGATTTAGGTCCACCTGTGGTCTGGCAAGACCGAGGCTGCTGGGGACGTTGGGCACATGGCTGTGGTGGCACGGTGGGGACACACCTGGGTGAAGCGGGTTAAAGAGACTCGGTGCTGTCAGGAGGAGTCTGGGGGTGGGGGTGGAGGGCTGCTGCGGTACGTTTATCTGGAGACGACAGGGAGAGACGAGACGGGGGCAGGAGGGCCTGTGGGCCCCCTGGACTCCAGGAGTGGTGGCGGGATGGCTGCAGCCGCAGGGCTCAGGAGAGATGGACGGTGCAGGGTGGGGACAGAGGGCTGGGCGGATGGGCGGGCTCTGGTCTGACTGCTGGGGTGTTCTCAGTGAAATAAGAAGCGAGACCTCCAGCTGACAGGGAGTCCTGGGGGAAGTGGCGGCTTGGAGGAGAGAGAAGGGGACACGGTGTGGCTGCCAAAACGTGACCCCCAGAGATGCACATCCTCCTCCCTGGAAGCTGTGACTGTGCTACTTCATGTGGCCACAGGGACTTTGCAGCTGTGGTTGAGTTGAGGATCTTGAAATAGGAAGATTATCTGGGGGCCCAATGTAGTCACAGGGTCCACATGAGGAAAGAGGGAGGCGGGAGGTGAGAGTCAGAGGAGATGTGACAACAGAAGCAGAGGCTGGAGTGATGCACTTTTGAGGACCGAGGAAGGGGCCACAAGCCAAGGAATGCGGGCGGCCTCTAGAAGCTGGAAAAGGCACAGAAACATGCTCCCCTGGAGCCTCCAGAAGGAACCGGCCCTGCCTACACTTCAGTTTTACACTTTGGAACTCCAGAAAGTAAGATAATAGATTTCTGCTGTTTTAGCCACTCGGTTTGAGGTGATTTGTCATACACAGGGTCTTCTGGGATAGTGGGAATGCACCATCGTCATCTCAGCTCTTCCCCTCGGTGGTCCCCACCTCTTGAGCTTGGCCCTCTCCACAGTGTACCCACCGCCAGCTGTTCAAGGCAGGGCAAGGCCTGGTCCCTGTCCGGGCAGTAGTCCCTGTCCACTCGGGCCTCAGCGATTCACGCAGACTGGCCATGTGGTTTCCAGTATCACGCTGGATTCTGGGCCAGTCTGGGGAGATGGGGAGGGCTCCAACAGCTCCTGGCCCCTGGGGAGCTCTCAGAGGCAGAGGAAACCCCAACGCTGACGCATCCCGTGCAAAGTGAGCTGAGGTTTGCACGACTGTAGAGACAGAGCAGCCACCTGTGTGCGTGTGCCGGGTGCAGCGTCAGCTGAGGACAGGTCTGAGATGGGAGCCGGAGAACCACCACCGCCCAGAGAGGGGCAGCCAGCAGGGGAGGAAAGCCAACAGCGCCAAGCGCCTGCTAACTGCCAGGCACCCGAGGACAGGGGGCTGCCGGCCACCCCAGAGCATGGGTGAGGAGGCCGAGCTAAGGTCACACGCCAGTAAAGGCAGATTCCAGACTGGACCAGGTCTGTTGCGCCCAGATCTGTTATGCCCCACAGTCTGAGTGCTGAGTCCCCCTGAGCCCGCGTCCCCTCGGAGCTGTTCCTGGGTGCCCGTGCAGGGGGAGGGGCACTTCAGGAGAGAGAAGAGCGCCCCGGGGGCAGGGGGAGGGCCAGAGCAGGGAACGTGGCAGAAGCTGAATCCAGATGGCATCTCACCGACAGGCTGTGGTGACCGAAAGGCTAAGGGAGGAGGGGGTCATCTGCTGGGACCCCGAGGAGTCCAGCCCAGAGGTGTCCTCAGCCGGGGGAGAAACTAGAGGAGGAGCGGGGTCAAGGGGCACCGTGGATGTCCAGCAGGTAGGCAGACAAAGGGTGCTGGCCCTGAGCGCCACGCGCATGGCCTCTGCAGGAGAAGGCGGACAAGGCTGGAAGGCAAATCTAGGGTGACACCCGGATGGGGACTCAGGGGCTGAGCCCCTTGCTCCACCTCTGGGTGCAGCTGCCTCTGTGGGGAGGATGAGCCAAGCCAGACAGCTGAGGGTCCATACCCTTGGCTATGGACGGGAACCAAGAAACCTGGGGCTACCTCCTACCAGGATGGCAGGTGGCCGGCTTCCTCCCTCTGGCTCAGTCATGGGCAGTCGCGAAAACGGCCGCCATGAGCCCTACCCACAGGCCAGGCGCAGCCCATCAGTCCCCTGTGCCTTTCCTGGGGCTGCCATAGCACGTAACCGCCAACTGAGTGGCTTAAAAACAGCAGAAAGTGAAATAAGCCAGATAGAGAAAGACCGTCTCTGTACGACTCCGCTAGTGTGGAAGTTAAACACGTGGACAAAGAGAACAGATTAGTGGCTACCAGGGGAAAGGAGGGTGGGGAGTGTGCACAAGGGGTGAAGTGGTGCACTTACAACATGACCGACAAATAATAATGCACAACTGAAATTTCACAAGGTTGTAAACTATCGTAATCTCAATAAAAAGTGAAAAAAAAAAACCCAGAAACTTATTCCTCACAGTTCTGGAGGCCAGAAGTCTGAAATCAACTGTCTCTGTGTCCCTCCTTCTTCCTACAAGAACATCAGTCACTGGATTTAGGGTCCACCCGAAATCCTGAACGGTCTCATCTCAAGATTCTTAACTAACCACATCTGCAAGTAAAGTCACATTCTGAGGTTCCAAATGGACAGGAATTTGGGGGACACTATTCAACCCACTACACCATCCTTTCAACAATCCCATGAAGGAGGCTCAGAAACCCACACTGTGAATGAAGACACGGGCTCGGAAGGTGGAAGGGACTCCCCGAGGTCACCAGGCAGGGACACGTGGCAGAGCAGTGTCTCTGACTCCAGAGCCCTAACACCCTCCCCTCGACTCCATGCCTGTCTACGCAGGGATGCCAGCTCCGGAGGCTGGGCCCTGAGGCCACGTGGGCACCACGGCAGCGCACGGCCCTCCCCTCAGGACAGCCACTTTCCTCCTCCTCCGGGCCTGCTCCCCACCTAGAACATGGGCATCACAGGGAGCAGAAAGAGACCTTCACAACCCACGTGTCCAACAGTGGACTCATCCGCAATACACAGAAATAGACAAACATACCAAGAGCTCCTAAAGGAAAAGGCCAGACAGCCCAACAGAAAAATGAGGGGGGAAAACCTGAAGGGAAACTTTACAGAAGAAGATATCCAACGACAATAAACATATAGAAATATATTTAACTTAATTAGTCATCAGGAAAATGCAAATTAAAACCATAATAAGATATCACTACACATCCACCAAAACGAGAAAGATGGAAAGGGCCAAGTGTTGCTGAGAAATACACTCCCCCACTGTGGAGGGACCAGGGCGCCCCTGGAGACGCCGTAACAGCTGCCAAAGCTGAACGTCCAGACCTCTTAACCTAACAAACACCCACACACCTTTAATCTAACAATTCTACTCACCGCCTGCTGTGAAACAGAATAAGAAATATAGGAAGTACTTAGAAATGAAATGAAATGAAAACCTTGGAAACTACTAAACTATCTGTCAAGCACAGAACTGCCCACAGAATTCAGTTCACACCGTTGAGCCCTACAGGGCAGTGGGAATGAGCGAACCGCACCCACGTGTGACAGGAGGGAGGAATCTCACAACACGACGTTGAGATGCGACAGACTGTCAACTGGAAATAAACTCCACTTATGGAAAATTCAGAATCTGGTCTCTGGTGTTAAAAGTGAAGCTGTGTTTCCCCTTGGGTGTCAGAGACAGACGCAGGAAGGGGACGTGGGTGGAGCATCCAGGGAGCTGGTCACACGCGTCACTATGTGAAAATCCATCCAACTATCCACTGAGGGATGTTGTACTCCTTTGTACGTACACATGTGTGTTATACTTCAAAAAAAGTTTAAAATACGCCTCAGAAATAGAGGCTGTTTGAGGTCCTGCCAGCAGATGCCCTCGTGCGGCCTGGGCTTAGGCAGGGCTGGCTGGAGGACTCTGCTATGGGATAGAGACACACAGAGGGAGGCAAGGGGGAAGCCCAGGGGTCTCCACAAAGAGAGCAGAGGTGATACAGGCCCCACCACTGGGGAAATTGAGGCCCTGAGAGGAGGCAAGGGGAGAACAGAAAGGGCTCACTCACCCGGCAGATGGCCGTTCCTGTCGAGAAGTCCCCGGCACACAGCATCTCGTCATGCACTGGGGGGGCCTCGCCTTTGTCCAGTCTTTGTCCATATAAGATATTACAGAACTTGTTCTCGATGAGGCCCACCTTACCCTCCTGGAGATGGAAGGGCCACCGCAGAGGCGCTGCAAGGAGGGGGGAGACCGTGAAGGGTCTGCAGCCCAGCTGAGGACCCCCGGCTACCTGCACTCCCGCCACGCGCCGTGCTGCTCACCGCTGCCCCAAACAGGGGCTTTCTCAGCACAGCTGAGCTTTCAACAGTCTTCCTCCTGCCCCTAAAAAGCTCCTCTCCTAGTTCTCAGACTTTTTCACAAACTCATCCTATTCCTTCCACCTCTCTCGTAGCCAGAAACCACACCTCTCCGTTCCACAAAGCAAGGCAAATCGCACCCACACACGCCGTTCACTGGCTTAGCAACCGTCCACCGACCATCCCATCCATTCTCCATTCTTTGTCATGCTTTCTCCCATCCTTCTGTCCACAATTCCTCCATCCATCTCTTCATCATTCACCCAGCCATCCTCCCCTCCATCTGTCAATATATCCACCCACCCACTCACCATCCATCTTCCCTTCCACTCACACATCCTCCCACCTACCCCTCCCCATCCATCCTCACAGCCAAGCACCCATCTCTTTCTCTGTCCTCGTGTGAAGTATCTTGTAGACTCTAATGACACAGGGGAACATTTTCAGTTTGGGAGATGGGTAAATGCAGTAAGTAAATAGAATTATTTTAGATCTCGTGTGTGGACTGGAGGCAACAAGACAGGGAGATGTGATGGGAGGGGCTGCCTCCTTTAGCTCACACGGTCAAGTAAACCTCCTCTGGGGAGGAGCTGAGCTGCAGAGGTAAAGCAGAAATGAGTCATGTAGAGAGGAGCGGGGAGGACAGCGGGGCAGGGAAGACAGCGGAGGAAAAGGCTGGGGCGAGGACAGCCTGGCATGCTCAAGGCAGGAAGGAGGCCTGGTGGCTGGGATGGCGTGTGTGAGGGATGCAGTAGGAGATGAGGCGGAGGCGGATGGGGGCCGACATCACACACGGCCTGAGAGCTAAGGTGGGGAGGCGGGACCCTTTTCTAAGCTCAGATGAGAAGGCACAGAGGGTACTGAGCAGGGAAGTGGGGTGACTCAGGCTTTGAAGCAAACACTCGGCTGTGCGGAGACTGAAGCGGAGCACATGGTGCGGGGCCGTCTGGAGGCACTCAGGAAATGATGGACCATTGGACCAGGGGGCAGCAGGGCAGTACCTACAGGTGCCAGCCCCATGGCACAGATTGGGATGTTACAACAAGCAAGACGTGGTCCCCGCCCTCGAGGAAGAGCCAGTTTGTGTGTGTGTGTGTACATGTGAGTCTCTGTGTGTGTGTGTGACAGAGAGAGAACGCTGGGGGCCTGGCTGTCCTACAGCTAGGGAGAGCTCCTGCCACTTAGCAGGCAAGGGCCAGGGAAGCTGGCACATCTCACCCAGTGAAGACACAGTCTGTCCAGAAAGCCTGGAGCACCTCTGCTGAGAAACACCGTACCAAATTACGACCCTATAAATAAGTATGCTTTTTTCCCCTAACTTTATGCCATAAGCATTTCTCTAGACCAGAAACACTCCATTCTCTAGTAAAGACTCTTCTTCATCAGTCTTTGCCTACATTTCTCCTCTTTCAATCTGAAAAACAGACTTTTTCCTGTGTGATTCAGTTCATGTAATAAGCCTATGAAGTAGGCAGTCAGCCTGGGTCAGGGGAAGAGCAAACAGGTTCAGAGACGTGAAACACTCTGAAGTCGGGACCATTCTAACTGGATCCTGCAGGCTCAGAGGTGAGAAGCCATAAACGTGTTGTCTTTCCACTTTTCCCGAGTGCCTTCTACAACAACGGGAAATCAGAGCGGTGGCCTGAATGGGCCAGGCCCCAAGCATGGCCTTAGAGCTGGATCAAGTCATCCGAGACCTGTGGCTGGTTAAAACCTCAGAGTCAGGAACCAGGAGGACTCCACCAGCCCAGATTCTTGATTCCAGAAGTCAAAGATTCTCAGGATTCAGAGCTTTAGACTCCGGGAACTCTGAAGCTTTAGAATCACACACTTTTCAGAACTAGAACTAGAATGGTCCATCCTCTGCAAATGAGGCCCAGAGGGCCACAGTCCATTGGCCTCTTTGCCTGGGGACCCCTCAGGCTGGGCCGCACACCCCTACTTCCCTCCCCTCGCCTCCCCTCTCCTCCCTGTCCCTGCCCTCAACCGCTGCCTCTCCCACACCCCCTCACTGTCTTCACTGAGCATCCCCCAGCCAGTTATCCAGCAGGATGAGCGACTGGGCGGCTGCATGCCAGGGGCTGGGAGGCAGACGGGGGCAATGGAGGAAGTGAAGTTCACAGGCAGGAGCAGCTGCAACATGGCTATGTCACTCCCGAAGGGGTGAAACTTCTCAAAGTCTGGGTGCACGATAATCCGGCTCACAGACACCTTCCGGGTGTGCTGGGTTTGCTGGTACAGCTGGGTGCTTCCCAGCAGAACCTGGTAGTCCTCTGGCGCCCGGGATTTGCTGGAGGAGGAAGGGCGCATTGTCACTGTCATCTCTGAGCATGGGCCAGCTCTCTCCCCCAGCATCCTCATTTAGCTGCCCACACCCCCCGGACCCCCCACCCCACATGATGCTGGGCAGCTTTAGTCTCCTTTTCTAACTGGCAGGAGGCCTTCTTTCTCGAGGCTGATTGATATTCTACTCCCAACCTCAGGACATATGGCTTCTCCATCACACCCTAGAATCGGAGAAGCACTGAATCCTAGTGCTGGAAGGTCTTTGTGGGACCATCACATCGAGGCCTTCCGCCTGCACCAGCGGAGCCTGGCTCAATCCTAGCTCTCAGCTGACCCTCCCAGGGCTCCCACAATCCACCTTATGGCCCCAACACCTCTCTTGCCCCTCCTTTCCTTAAACACCTTCCTGCCCAAGGGCTGCTTGCCCACTTGGTTACAAGCACTCACAAAAGATTTGTTAAATGAACAAGCGAGTGCAGAAGTGGCACCTCACCTTGCTCCCTGAACACAAGTGATGGACCAGAAGCGCCCACCTTCTGGGCCTCGTTCGCATGCCTCACCCCCGGAAAGCCCTCCCTCTCGCTCTCTGTGCCCAAACCTGTCCCACCCGCTCCCGACTGCCTCCCTCTCCCATGGGGTCTGCTCTTCTCATCCACAGTGGGCGAGACACTCGGGACGGGGTCTTGCCACCTTGATGCTGCAGAGGGTCTCACGTGGAGCGTGGACAGGAAGGTGCCGACAGGGCTCTGGGCTCTCAGAGCCAGTCAGTGCCCGAGCTCCCGCTCACTGACCAGGGTGTGACACCCCTGCTCCCTCAGGACCCTCCTCTCCATTCAGAAGCCGGGTGCTGGGCCAGGCCCAGGAGGGCCAGCCGAGTTGGCCTCCTGAGTGGCCATGCCACTCTCCAAGGTCAGGGACCCCCCCACCCACCCAGCCTGACACCACCACTCTTCCTGGGCACGTGGTTTTGCAGAAGTGATGAGGAGACTCGCCCGGCTGCTGGCGGTACATGCAGTCCCAGGTCCCCACCTGGAGTCTGACGCCCAGGAATGCGGTGACATTGAGGAGAAGCTGTGGCTTGAGGCTGGTCCACACCGCATGGCGCTCAGCACAGACACTGCCCATCTCCTGGGGCACGTCTGTGCTAGGGCACAGGCCCAGGGGCTGAGGATGCAGGATGAGGAGGATCCGGGGAGGTGAGGGGGAGGACAATCCAGGTGGAGGGGACAAAGGTCAAGGCAGTTTTTGGAGGTCACAGACTTCCCCAGACCAAAGCTCAGAGGAGCCGGCGTGGGACGCCCATCACCCTGTCCTCCTCTTCCCCCGTGTCCCCCTCCCCTCGAGCCCCTCTGCTGGCACCCCAGGAAGGTGGACTCACTTGACAAAGCAGTGGGCAGTGGAAAGCAGCCAGTGGGAGTCGATGAGGGCACCTCCGCAGATGTGCGAGCCCTGGTACCGCAGGCTGGCCTGCCACGGCCACTGGCCAGCCACCACGTCCTGGCCGCCATAGATCTTCCCTGTCACCTTGGGCCGCCCGCACACTGTGGAGATCCCCCCGCCTGTGACGGAGGCACTGCTGGCACCCCAAATGCCATTACCAGGGAGGTCCCAACCACTCCACACATGGAAAACCAAGGCCAAGGGTCAAGTGGGCTGGCCAAAATGACAGGGCTGCTCCGACACTGCTGTCACTGGTCGCTGAGGACTGGACAGCAGAACACAGCCCAGCAAGCCCTGTGGGAATGGGGCCCCAGGGCTCTGGTGGGAGGGGCAAGGCGAGTCCAGGCGGACCAAGGTGCCCACAGCAGCTCCAGAGCATCTCCAGGGAGCTGGCGCCCCTGAGCGGCTGAGGGCTGCCGGCCACAGACCTTTCCCTCAACCAGGGCACCCTCACGCCCACCTGGCCTGGCCTGTCAAAGAGGGGCAGGTCTCTGGGTACCAGTGTCCCTGGCTCAAGATCATGGCCCCTAAGTGCCTGTGCCCTCCGTGTCACCCCGGCATCTCAGGGAGGGAGACTGCAGGCGGAGTCTGTGGTGCTGTGAGACCTGGGAAAGTGACCACGCTCTGACTCAGGACTCTCGGGTTCTAAGGGCAGGTAGAGGGCTATGAAGCCAGCCCCGGTTCTGGCTCACGCCTGGGCGGCAGCGTGTGTCCAAGCCCCTGAGGGGCATCCCGGTGCCCGGCCTGTGCTCCCGGGGCTCAGGGAGGGAAGTGAGGCCCGGGCCGCACTCAGGGCCGCTCATTCAGCACCCCTGGTGCTGTCCTCGCCCAGCCCCGCCTGGGCCCCCAACGGCCCGGCCGTGTGGGGGTGGTCTCTGGGCTGCTGGTTGGGGGGCACGGAAAGAAGACGAGGCTCAGCGACCCCGGGCCCCAGGCCCGGGCCCCAGCCGCAGCCCTGTGCTGTCGCCGTGTCGCCGTCGCGCCCCGCGCCCCCGGACCCCCCCCACCTGCGGCTCCAGGGGCCAACCGCTGCGCCTCGGGGGTCGGCGCGGAGGGCGGGGACCCCGGCGGCTCGGGGGCGGCCGCGGGCAGCAGCAGCAGCAGCCAGAGCAGGCCTCGTCCTCGGGGACTCCGCGCTGCCGCGCCCATCGCCAAGGGCGCTGACCCTGCCATGACCCCCTGACCCTGGGCCCTGACCCCGCCCCAGCCCAGCCCTGACCCCATTCTGACCTCCGCCCATCCTGCCTGGACTTGCCCCCCCCCGCCCCGCCCCCGCCCCAGCACAGCAGTGACTCGGCCCCGACCCCACCCTGACCCCCAGCCCCGCTGGCCTCTGACCCAGCCCTCACCCCAGGCCCTGACCCTGTCCTCACCCCACCCTGACCTGGGCCGCACCTGGCCCTGATCCTGCCCTGACCCCGGCCTTGACTCCTCCCCAACCTGGTCCTGATCCCGCCCATGCCTGGCCTCTGACCACAATGCAGTCAAGCGCTCCTGAGAATTAAGGAGAAAAGACAGTAGACAGGGCATAGAAAAATCAGAAAGGGTACGAAAAGGTAATTCATGGAAAAGGGAATTAAAAAGACCCACAAACAGGAAAAAATGCTCAATCTAATTAGTTATCTAGACAATGAACGTTTAAACATTAAAACGTGTCACTTTCAACAGTCAAATTGCAAACATTTTCTGAGATTAATACCGACACCCTAATCCTATGTTAATCTGTGATTTCATCCAAATTTCAAAGACGTGTGCTGTATTGTCTATTCCAGGATGTAATGTCCTGAGTGTCTTGGTAAGATTGGAGGTAAGAGTTCATCATCTCTCATTTATTTCCTTAATAGTTCGTCTTCCTCACTGAACTGTCCACTCCAGGCCACAGGGAAATTATTTTATTCCCCACTATGTCTAGGGCTGAGAGAGTGAGGGAGACAGCACTGCACACAGTATGCGAGAGTATCGAGTATCGGCTCAATAACTACTGTTGTTATTAAGAAGACACAAACCAAGGGGCACACAGCCTTACTTATTGGTTAAAAACTTTAAAGTTCAATAAATTAAAAAATATATATTTCTGGTCTGGCAAAATTTTATTAGTGTTAGGAAGATTTTGTACTTCAGTCTAGAGACTGGAAGAAGAATTCACGTATTTTGTAAAAGGGAATGCAGGGTTGATGGTGAAGGGAGGTGAAGAGAATGAGGACCATCTTGAACGACAATGTGAGGTTCCTGTGGAATGTACAGGTCCAACAGGTGCTAGAAATAGTGCCAATCTGGAATTCGGGAAGTAGATTTGGGTTGGAGATATAGAGACTTTAAGGTGTGAGGTGATAGTTGACGCCACGGACAGTTGACGGGAGTGGATAAATCATCAAAAGAAAGCATCTAGAACAAAATTAGAGACCAAAACATGGAAAGGAGCCAAATAAGAAAAAGGAGCCAGTAAGAGACTGAGGACTGCATGGGGTACATTTAATCCACAGAAAGACTAAATTAGGTAACTGTTTGAGATTTCTTATTAACTGTTTCACAGCTTTATCGAGATATATTTTGTATACCATAAAATTCACTTACTACAAGGGACAATTCAGTGATTTTCAGTAAATTTTTAGAATTGTGCAACAATCACCAAATTTGCAGTTAATCTCTCCTCCCACACCCAGCTCCAGACAACCACTGCTCTGCTTTATGTCTCTTTAAACGTGTGTTTTCTGGACATTTCATGTAAATGGAATCACTCTCAAGTTCGTCCAGGCTGCCCCACGTGTCACCATCCTGTTCCTCTTCGTTCCACTGTATGGTTGTACCACACTGTGATTATCCGTTTACAGTTGATGGATGTTTGGGTTGTTCACAGTTTTTGGCAACTGTGAGCAATGCTGCTGTGAATACTCGTGTGCCGGTCTTCGTATAGATATGTTTTCATTTCTCTTGGCTAGATTCCTAGGGAGGAAACTGCTGGGTCATATGGTAAGTTTATCTGTAGAGTTTTATAAACTGCCAAGCTGCTTTCCAAGGAATCTGTGTCATTTTCCATTCTTGTTATGGCGTATGGCGTCCACTTCTTCCGTGTGCTTGCCAACGCTTGTATTATCTGTCTTTATAATATAGTCATTCTGGTGAGTGTGAAGTGGTATCTTATTGTAGTTTTAATTTGCATTTCCCCGATGACTAATGATGTTGAATGTGTTTTCATGTGCTTAATTGCCACTCATATATCTTCTTTAGTGAAATATCTATTCAAATCTTTTTTGCTTATTTCAAAACATGTGTTGTTTCTTCTTTTATTATGCTGTAAATCTTCTTTATATACTGTATTCTGGATGGAAGTTTTTTACCAGATACGTGACTTGCAAATATTTTCTCCAAGTCTGTGGCTTGTCTTTTCATTCTTTTTACAGCAGCTTTTGAAGAGCGAAAGTCTTAAATTTTGATAAAGTCTAATTTATTAATTTTTTCTCGTGAGGATCATGCTTTTGATGTCATGTCTAAGAGGTTCTTCTCCTATGATTTTCTCCAATGTTTTCTTTGAGAAATTTTAAGGGTTGGTGCTTACCTTTGGATCTATGATTAATTTTTAGTTCATTTTTGTCCAGTGTGATGTGACTTTTGTTTGTTTTTTGGCTTTGCTTGTGCATATCCATTTGTTCCAGCACCATTTCTTTAAAAAAACAAACAAAAAACACTGGCCTTTCCTCCATTGACTTGTCTTGGGACCTTTGTTGAAAATCAATTCATAATAAAAAGTCAGGTTTTATTTCTGGACTCTTGATTCTGTGCCCTGGATCTCTATGCCTGTCCTTGTGCCAGGATCCCACTGTCTAGATTGACATGTGTTTGAGGTAGTGAATGAAAATGAGGTAGTGAATGAAAGTTCTCCAGCTTTATTCTTTTTCCAAACTACTTAGGCTATTTTAGGCCCTTTCCATTCCCATATAAATTTTAGGATCAGCTTATCAATTTCTACCTCCACAAAGTCTGCTGGGGTTTTTATAGGGACTGTATTGAATTTAGAGACCAGTTTGAGAAGAATTGTCTTCTTGATAATATCAAATCTCCTGATCTATGAAAAGAAATGTTTCTTCATTTATTTAGATCTATAATATCTTTCAGCATTATTTTTTAGTTTTCAGTATATAGATCTTGAACTTCTTTTTTACATTTATTTCTACGCATTTCATTATTGTCCATGCTATTGTGAATGAAATTATTGTTAATTTCTTTTTCATATTTTTGAAGCTAGTGTATAGAAATACAATTATTTTTGTAAGAAATATTGCTTCCTGTGACCTTCCTAAACTTGTTTATTACTTCTAGTCTGTTTTGTTTTGGTCAGTTCATTGGAATTTTCTACATATAAGGATCATGTCCTCTGAGAATAAAAGTTCTGCTTCTTCCATTCAAAGTTGGGCGACTTTAATTTCTTCCTTCTTCCCTCCCTCCCTCCTTCCCTCTTTCTTTCTTTTCTGATAAGAAGTCAGCTATTAATTGAAACAGTCTTTTATATGATCATCACATATATCAAGATTCCCTCTTGGTCCTTGTCTTCTAATGGATTGATTTTGATGTTTCCAAATGTAAATTTCTTTGGTTTAAACCTATTTTGAGTTTGTTGAGCTTCTTGAATTTTCAGATTATTGTTAAATTATTTTTCATCAAATTTGGAAAGTTATCATTATACTTATATTGATATGTTTGATGGTATCCCACAGATCTCTGAGGCTCTGTTCAATTTTCTTCATTTTTTTCTCTTTCTGTTTTTCATATTGGATAATTCCTACTGATCTATCTTCAAGTTCATTTATTCTTTCTTCTGCCATTTTGAATCTTCTGTTGAAACTATCTAATGAATCTTTTATTTTCATTATTATAGTTTTCCACTACAGAGTTTCTACTTGGTTCTTGTCTTATAATTTCTATCTCTTTATTAATGTTTTCTATTTGCTGAGTCATTATCATCATACCTTCCTTTAATTCTTTAAACATGATTCCTTTCCATTTTTTGGACATATTTATAACAGATGCTTTGAAATCTTAGTCTGATAAGTCCAATATCTGGACCCCATCCAGTTCCTATTTTATGGTTTTCACTTTCCTGTCCATTTTTTTGTTGAAAATTGGACATTTTCGAAAAAATACTGCATCCATTCTGGATTTTCACTTGCCTCCCACCTCCTGGAGTTGTTGCTGTTCCTTCTTTTTAGTAATTTACCTGGATTAATTATGTAGTGCCTGTCTCCCTTGTGGTATGCAGTAACTGATGTCTCTGTTCAGGTTTTTATTTTTAAAAATTCTTGTCTTCATGTTTAAACCTGGCTTTCTAGGAGTCACCCTTGTGTTGGTATAGCTTAGCACTTGGTCAGAGGTTACACTAAAATATCTTGAGTCCATGAGATTTTCACCCTTTTCCAATGGACCTGTGTGTGGGTTGGGGAATGCATTCAAAGTTTAGGCTGTTTATAAGTCTTTCTAGGTTTTCCTTTCTACTGGAGCCCCTCCTGTCTCCTCCATGCCTGCACATGGCCTTACATTCAACCAGGGATATGTAAATAGCTAAGGTTGTCTCCAATTTTTCCCCAGCATTGCACATGTGTTTACCTGTCCAGACCACCAACGAAATGTGGGAGTTTATTATGGCCCACTATGGCAGTCTCATTTTTCAGATTTCTCTAAGTTTTTGGTTAGCCTGCCAGTCTGCTGTTAACCTCAACTAGGATCATGACCTCAGGCTATCTGCAATGTTGCCGTTCCTCACTGGTTCCCATCAAAATTGCTACCGTTCCTGACAAAGGCCAAAGGTGTTGGGTATTTCAGAGTTCTGCTCCAAATCAAGTCAGACCTCTCCAGCAGTGGCACTGCCAGTTTTCACAGTTTGCCCCACCCTGGTAGGACTACTGTTGCTAATGGAGCCAGGGAGGGGGCTGTTGGTATGAGCTGCCACAGGCAATAATGCCACGGGGAACTCCCACTGTTATCACTCGAGGCTCTGCAGTTTTTTGTTTTTACTTTAATAAACACTTCTCAATTTGTGGATGCACTAGTCAATTTATAGAGTTCTGAAATGGTTGCTTTCAATAATTTTGTCTGGTTTTATCACTGATTTTTAAAGAGAGGGTTTGATGAGCTCCCCATGCCATTATTCTAGAAATC